TTGAGGCATATACATACTCATTTTGGGGACAGAATTTTGGATTTGTATCTGGAAGTAAGTTAAGGCAGGCTTTTTAGAGAAAAAAAGAGGCTGAGTAAAGCTTAAGCAATGGTTTGATGTAATATTTATATGGAATCGTAAGTTAAACAACAAATTTAATTGTGTCTTTGGCTGGTAGAACGGGTCAGGGATTTTGTTTAATTAAACGTGTATTCAATAAAATTGATATTTAATATGACTTTTAAAAAATAAACTTTCTTTTTCAAGGTAGTTTTAGATTTATAGAAAAAGTAGGCAGAAAGTACAGAGTTCCTATATGCCCCACCCATCCCCGATTTCTTCTGTTATAACATCTTGTACTAGTGTGGCACATATGTTATATTGACTAATTAATATTAATGCATTATTATTAACTAAAGTCCATAGTTTGCATTAGGGTTTGCTCTTTATTTTATACTGTTCTGTGAGTTTTGACAAATGTATTATGTTTCCACCATTACAGTATAAAACAGAATAGTTTCACTGCCCTAAAAATATCCAAAGCTCCATATGTTCGTCCTTTTCTCCCTCCCCTGGGAACTGATCTTTTTACTGTCTATATAATTTTACCTTTTCCAGAATTTGATACAGTAGGAATCATACAGTATGTAGCTTTTTCAGACTGACTTCTTTCATTTAGCAATATGCATTTACAATTTCTCTTATGATGGGCTGATTATTTCTTTTTATCACTGAATAATACTCCATTGTATATGTACCACAGTTTATCTGTTGACCTATTGAAGTATATCTTGGTTGCTTCCAAGTTTTGGCAATTATGAATAAAGTTGTTATAGACATTTGTATGTAGGTTTTTATGTAAACATAAGTTTTCAATATCCAGGTTAATATATAAGAGTATGATTGCTAGATTGTATAGTAAGCCTATTTTAACTTTGTAAGAAACTGCCAGACTATCTGTCAAAGTGGCTGTACCATTTTGCATTCCCATCTTCAGTGAATGACAGTTTGTGTTGTTCCATATCTTTGCCAGTATTTGGTGGCATCAGAGTTTTGGATTTTATTCTAATGGGTATGTAGTCATATCACATTGTTGTTTTAACTTCCATTGATGAGATGCTTCTTCAGTTCTTTGTTGCATTTTTTTGTATTTTTGGTAGAGATAGGGTTTCGCCATGTTGGCCAGGCTGGTCTCGAACTCCTGACCTCAGGTAATCTGCCTTTCTCGGCCTCCCAACTTTGTGGGATTACAGGCGTGAGCCACTGTGCCCTGCCAGGGTTGTTTATTTTCTTATTGTCGAATTTTAAGAGTTCTTTGAGGCCAGGTATAGTGGGTCATGCCTGTAATTCCCAGCACTTTGGGAGGCTGACGTGGGAGGGTTCCTTGAGCTCAGGAGTTTGAGACCGGCATGGGCAACATAGTGAGACCCCGTGTGTATTTTTTTTAATGAGAGTTCTTTGTGTATTTTAGATACCAGTTCTTTATCAGATATGTTTTTTGTATAGAATTTCTCCCAATCAGTGGCTTGTCTTTACTCTTAAAACGGTGTCTTTTGCAGATCTTAATAATTTCCAAGATACCAATTTCTTTTTTCACGGATCTTGCTTTTGGTGTTGTGTCTAAAAAGTTATCCCCAAACCCAGAGTCTTCTGTACTTTCTCCTATGTTATCTTCTAGAAGTATAATTTTCAATTTCATATTTAGATCTGTGAGCCGTTTTGAGTTAATTTTTTGTGAAGGGTGTAAGGTCTGCATCTAGATTGATTACTCCCTCCTCCTCCTCTCTCTGTTTCTTCTGTCCTTTCTTTTTTTGCATGTGGCTGTCTAGTGGCGTCATCATTTGGTGAAAAGACTATCCTTTCTGCATTGAATTGCTTTTGTTTCTTTGTCAAAGATTCTTTGACTTGGGTATATTTCTGGGCTCTCTGTTCCATTTGATTGATCTGTTTGTTCTTTTACCCATACCACCCTGTCTTGATTACTGTAACTTATGGTAATTCTTGACATTGGCTACTGTCAGTCTTCCAGCTTTGTTCTTATTCTTCAATATTGTATTGTGTATTCTTTTGCCTTTATATAAACTTTAGAATCAGTTTTTATATTAACAAAATAATTTGATGGATAATTGGATTCCACTTGTTCATTGCTGTTACACAGGAAGACATCTTTTTATACATATTAATTCTCTATCCTGCAATCTTGCTATAATTGCTTTTTCCAGGAGGGTTTTTGTTTTGTTTTGTTTGTCAATTCTTTGGGATTTTCTATATAGACAGTAATATTATCTGCAGATAAAGAAAATTTTATTTCTTCTTTCCCAATCTGTGTAGCTTTTCTTTCTTTTTCTTGTCTTATTTCATTAGCTAGGACTTATAAAGTATAACTATGTTGAATAGGAGTCAAAGGGGACATCCTTGTCTTGTTCTCAGAATTAGGGTATAAGCATCTAGTTTCTTACTATTAAATATGTTGTTAGCTGTAGGTTATTTGGTAGATGTTCTTTACCAGTTAAGGAAGTTCCCCTCATTTTCTATTTAGCTGAAAGTTTTTATCATGAATCGTCGTTGGATTTTGTCACATGCTTTATCTGCATCTACCAATATGTGTGATCATATCACGTTTTTCTTCCTTAGCCTGTTGATGTGATGAATTACATTAATTATTCTTTGAATGTTGAACCAACCTTGCCTATCTGGGATAAATTCCACGTGGCCATGTTGTTTAATTACTCTTACACATTGTTGGGTTTAATTTGCTAATATTTTATCGTGTTTTTGTCTGATCTTGGTGTTAGGGTGATACTGGCTTCATAGAATGAGTTAGCAAGCGTTCATCTACTTCTGATTTCTGGAAGAGATTCTGAAGAACTGGTATTGTTTCTTATTTAAATATTTGGTAGAATTCACTGTGAAACCAACTAGACCTTTTTTTTTTTCTTTTTTGGAAGGTTGTTGATTTAATTTCTCTCTCTTTTGTTTTTTTGTGACAGGGTCTTGCTCTCTTGCCCAGGCTGAGTACAGTGGCATAATCATAGCTCACTCTAGCCTTGAACTTGTGAGCGCAAGTGATTCTTTCACTTCAGCCTCCTGAGTAGCTAGGGCTACAGGTGTATGCCACTGCATCCAGCCAATTTTGTTATTTTTTATTTTTATGGACGGGGTCTCACTGTGTTGCCCAGACTGGTCTCTAGCTTCTGGGCTCAAGCAATCCTCTCACTTGGGCTTCCCAAAGTGCTGAGATTATAACCATGTCCAGCCTAATTTCTTTATTATCTCTTTCTCCTACTATGAGTTTTGGTAGACTGTCTTTCAAAGAATTGGTTCATATCATCTAAATTATCAAACTTCTGAGGATAGAGTTGTTTGTAGTATTCTTTATTCTTCTGATGTTTGTGAGATCAATTGTGATAACCCCTCTTTCTTCATATTAGTAATTTTTGCCTTTTCTCATTTTTCCTTGAATAGTCTGGCCAGAGTTATTTTTTGGTTTTTGTTTTTTAAATGGAGTTTCACTCTTGTTGTCTAGGGTGGAATGGTAGAGTGCAATGGCATTATCTCGACTCACTGCAACCTCTACCTCCCAGGTTCAAAGGATTCTCCTGCCTCAGCCTCCCAAGTAGCTGCGATTACAGCTGTCTACCACCATGCCTGGCTAAATTTTGTATTTTTAGTAGAGGTGGGATTTTACCATGTTGACCAGGCTTGTCTTGAACTCCTGACCTCAGATAATCCACCTGCCTCAGCCTCCCAAAGTGCTGGAATTACAAGTCTGAGCTACTGTGCCCAGCCCTAGCTAGAGTTTTATGAATTTTATTTACGTTTCCAATAACCAGTTGTGGTTTCATTGATTTTTCATTGAGTATAGAAGTCCAGATTCCCTATGCAGCTTCCATTGACCCCTTAGTGGCAGGGGAAAAAGCTCCCCTTCCCTTAATTAATGCTGACAAGGATGGCTCCCCAGTAGGTCTCCAATGCTACCTTCTTAGCTGGGAGGAGTAGGAGTGTCTTGTTACTTCTCCCCCAAATGTCTTCCACTGGTATCACAGAAAGGAGGGTGGCTGCATTAGCACTGGGTGGTAGTGAAAGTGACTCTCCACTAGGCCTTCTTTAATACCACCCCATTGAGGATGGGAGAGGGTTATCCCATTACAGACAGGTGGGTGGTAAAAATCCAGGATCCCCATGTGATGTTAGTAGATACCACATGGGTCTCGGTTGGTTACTGCCTAGCAGGGTTGAAAACCTCAGGCCTCTGCTTGGCCTTCTTTGAAACAGGTAGGGGGTTAGAGCACCTTGGTTTGGTTTGGCAAATGTGAAAATCTACTTTTTGTTTGTATGGATTGTCTATTCTGGACATCTCTTGTAAGTGGAGCCATATAGTGTGTGGCCTTTTAAAACTGGAGTCTTTAACTTAGCATAATGTTTTTAAGGTTCATCTATGTTGTAGCATTTGTCAGTACTTAATTTCCTTTTATTACAAAATAATATTTGATTGTATGGATAGGCCACATTTTATTTATCCTTTCATCAGTTTGTGGACATGTGGGCTGTTTATGTTTTTTAACTTTTATGAGTAATGCTGCTGTGAACATTTGTGTTCAGGTTTAAGTGTGGACATGTGCTCATTTCTCTTAGTATATACCTAGAAGTGGAGTTGCTGGGTCTTATGGTACCTCTGTATTTAACTTTTTGAGAACTTCATTTATTTATTATTAAGTTTTAAAAATCTTATTGTATTGTGGTATCAGGGAAGGGACCTGAGATACTTTGTGTAGTGTCTGTTGGGTCCCCAGACTTAAGATTTACTTTTGTTCTTTGTTTATATCTTTATGATTTTGATTAAAAGGATGGCGCTGATAATTAAGTTACTCAAGGGTTCCATAAGTTTGATGAGTATTAAAGTGCTTTAAATCATTATTTATTTTTAAACATTGAGTGTATAATTATTCATAGTCATGACATTTATATTCATAAATATACCTGTGATTTTATTTATTTAGAAAAAAAAAAGTGAATGCCTCCAGTTAAAAATTTTGGTGCTTCAAAATGAACTGGAACGGCAGAAGAAAGCTTTGGGACGGGAGGTGGCATTACTGCATAAGCAGCAAATTGCATTACAGGACAAAGGTGAGTAGAAATACCATACAAACACCCTAACTTCCACATTCAGTAGTTTTCCTTTCTTCTTCTTCACAAGCTCAAAGAGTCATTTTTTTGTGTGTGTAAATGCAGCCACACATCACTTAATGGCAGGGATATATTCTGAAAATGCATCCTTTGGTGATTTTCTTGTTGAGCTACCATCATAGAGTATGCTTACACAAGCCCAGATGGTATAGCCTACTACATACCTAGGCTATATGGCATAGCCTATGGCTCTTAGGCTACAAACTTGTACAGCATGTTACCATACTGAATACTGTAGGCAACTGTAACACAATGGTGAGTATTTATGAATCTAAATATATCTAAGCATGGAATAAAAATACGATATTACAATCTTATGGGACCACCATCATATATGTGGTTTGTTGTTGACTGAAACGTCATTATGCAGTGCATGATTGTATGGTGATAGAATTTTCTCTGATTTTTAAAGTATTTTTGCAAGTATTATGAAGTTAGTTCATACAGACGGGTGTGTACAAATCTATTCAAATGGTCCTGGACTTAGAATAGCTTGACTTGATGATTTTTCAGCTTTACAATGTGCAAAAGTGATATGCGTTTAGTAGAAACCATGCTTTGAATTTTGCTATTTTTCCAGGTTAGCAATATGTGGTTTGATATTTTCTTGCTTTACTAGCCAGCGGCAGTGAGCTGCAGCTCCCAGTCAGCCACATGATCATGAGGGTAAAAAACCGGTACTCTACAATGTACTCTGTTGCCAGTGTTTTTTGGATATTGCGTTTTATGTTTTCACATCCCATCAAGTCTACAAAATGTTCATCTGTGTACAGTATTCAATGCTGTGTTATAAAATAGGCTTTGTGTTAGATGATTTTGTCCAACTGGAAGCTAATGTTAAGTGTTCCGACACCTTAAAGGTAGGCTAGGCTAAGGTTTCATGATCAGTAGTTTAGGTCTATTAAATACATTTCAACTTATGATATTTTCAACTTTATGGGTTTGTCATAATAAGTTTATCAGGTTGTAACCCCACGGGTTTAACCTAATGTAACCCCATGGTAAGTTATGGAGAAGTTGTATACATACAGCTTGAATTTTCCCAAAGCGGACGCACTCATCTGAGCAGATCCTCAGTCGAGAAGCAGGACCCCAAAACCTGGGAAGCCTTTTCATGCCTCCTTCCATTTACCACGTCTCCATCCAGACTAGCCACTGCCTTGGCTCAAACCAGATTGGTTTTGCCTAATTCTGAACTTTATAGAAATAGAATCATATATGTACATATGCTGGCTTTTTTCAACATTATGTTTGTAGAGTCATTCTTACCTTCATGTAGTTATAGTTTGTTCGTGCTTAATGCCAAATAGTATTCCATTATATGAGTGTGAATTTATTTATCTACTCTTGCTCTTGGTTTCAGTAATTTTCATTTTGGGACCATTATAGTTAATGCTTCCTGAACCTTCTAGGTTTCTTAATGCAGAACTTTTATATGTTTCTTAATAAAAATTTCTTAGGTGTTTCAGTTGGGTAGAAACTGAGGAGTAGAATTACAGTCAGAGAAGGTGCATATCTTCAGCTTTTCCAATATGATTGTGCCCACTTACCTCCCCTCCATCCAGTATTGCTCCTTCCTACATCCTTGTCAGGAATTTATACTTCTTGTATATTTTGTATTTATTACATTTGGTAATTTGTATTTTTCATTTTAGCCTTTCTGTTGGATATGTTGTAATATTCTCTTGCAGTTTTAATTTTTATTTTCCTGAAGACTAATGAAGTTAGTCTTTCATATGTTATAAATGTTATAAACATTTCATATGTTTCTTGCTGACTGAGATACGCTCTTTGGTGATACACCTGTTGAATTCTTTTGTCCATTAAAAAAAGTTTGGTTTGACTGGTTTTTTGGTAAGATTTCTTTATATGTTATGGATATGGATTCTTTATTTGGCATATGCTTAAAAATTTATTCTCCCATTCTGTGGCTTGCTTGTTCACTCTTTAATGATACCTTTAAATGAACAGAAGTTCCATTTTATCAGTCTTTCATATATGAGGCTTTTTGTGTCTATTTGCAGAAATATTTACCTATTTTAAGATTTTATAGGTGTTCTTCTATGTGTTCTTTGAAATGCTTTAGTATTTTACTTCTTACATTTATATCTATAATTCATCTGAAATTATTCTTTGTATGTGATGTGATAGTCAAGATTATTTTTTTTCATATTAATAGCTGACCCAGCACTATTCATCAAAGATCATCCCTTCTCCATTGCATTGCAGTTTTGCTTTTCTCGTAAGTCAGATGACAATATGCTTTTAAGTCTGTTAAGAACCCTCTGTTCTGTTCTATCAGTCTATTTTTCTGTTCTTTGCCATTATTTCGCTGTTTTAATTTTTTTCATGTTATAATAGGTGTTGATATCTGTTAAAGTTCTTCAGCTTAGTTGTTTTTCTTCAAGATTACAATGGTTATTTTTGCTCTATGTCATTTTCATGTGAATTTCTATATAGAAAAGAAAACCTTGCTAGGATATTTTTTTCTTAATTGTCATACATCATTGCTGAGACTTGCTAGGATATTGACAGAACTGCATTGAATAGATTATCAAATGTCATTGGGGATAATAGGCATCTGTACAATATTGAGGCTTCCATCCCAGGAAAATGATACTTGCCTTTGTTTATTAGATCTTCTTTACAAAACATTATTGAAATAAGATAGTTAATGTATGGGTCTTTCCCATGATTCATTGAATTTATTTCTATTTTTTGATGTTTTATGATACTATTGTATGTATCTTTAAATTTTATTTTTACTAGTTTCTGGTGTATAGGTATACAATTAATAGATTTTTTAAAGTGGTATTGGTATTTATTATATCATGTTTAAAGAAAAATTCGCCAGAAGCCTTATAGACAGATTAGTAATTGTTAATGTTAGGGTTGGAGCCCTACATCTGCAGTCTTGCTGTGGTAATTTATTTATATTCTAATTTAGTTTCATTGTGTCTAAATTTCATTATACAGTAAATTAAATTAGTAATTTTAATTATTTGTTATAAATGTAAAATATTGCAGAAAATTTAAAAATCAGATTTATTGAGATGCAATTGCCATACCATATAATTTGCCATTTTAAAGTATATAACTCACTTTTTCTTAGTTTATTCACAGAGTTATGCAGTGATCACCACAGCCTGATTGTCCCACCTAAAGAAAACTCCTGTGCCTTAGCAGTGATTCCACACTTCCCATCCCCTCAATTCTAAGTAACCGGTTACCAATCTACTTTCTGTCTCTAGATTTGCCTTTTCTGGACATTTTTTATGAAAAGAATCATACAATGTTGTGGTCTTTTATGACCAACTTCACTTGTTTAGCATCTTATTTTTAAGGTTCATCACGTTGTATCGTGTATCACTACTTCATTTTTACTGCTGAATAATACATTCAGGTATATGGATATGTCACGTTTTTAAAATCCATTCATCAGTTGTTGGACATTTGGCTTCTTTCCACTTTTTGTCTATCACAGATAAAGCTGCTTATGAACATTCATATACAACTCTTAGTAGGGATGTTTGTTTTCATTCTTCTTAGGCACTCCTGGGAGTAGAACTGCTGGGTCATGTGGGAACTCTATTTTTAAGTTTTTGAGTTACTGCCAGCCATTTTCCACAGCTGTTGTTTTACATTCCTACCAACAGTATATGAGGGTTTCAGTCTCCCCATTTTCTCACCAATACCTGTTATTATCTCTCTTTTTAATTATAGCCATCCTAGTGAGTATAGCATTGTATCTCATCGTAGTTTTGATTCACACTTACCAAATGACTTATATGCATATTACACCTGATTTCTATATGTTAATTTTATATCCAAGGAACTTACTAATTAGTTCTAATAATTAGTTCTAATAGATTGTTCTAATAATTACTTCTAATAGATTATTCTAATAATTACTTCTAATAGATTGTTTTGAATTTTCTGTGTGTACAGTCATCTCACCTGCAAATGATGGCATTATTTCTCATTTCCTAATATGTATGCCTTTGAAACTTTTTTCTATTTTTTTTTTTTTTTTTTATAGACAGAATCTTGCTGTGTCACCAGGCTGGAGTCTGGAGTGCAGTAGCCTGATCTTGGCTCACTGCAACCTCCACCTCCTGGGTTCAGTCAATTATCCTGTCTCAGCCTTCCAAGTGGCTGGGACTATAGGCGTGCGCCACCATGCCCAGTTAATTTTGGTATTATTAGTGGAGACAGGGTTTCACCATGTTGGCCAGGATGGTCTCCATCTCCTGACCTCGTGATCTGCCTGCCTCGGCCTCCCAAAGTGCTGGTACTACAGGCGAAAGCCACCAAGCCCAGCCTTAAAACGTTTTTCTTACCTGATTGTGTTATCTGGGACATCCAGTACAATATTAAATAGAAGTGGTGTCAGTGAATATCCTTTTCTCATTTCCAGTTTCAGTGAAAGCTTTTAATATTTCACCATTAATAGAGAGTTTAAGCTTTTTGATACTTCTTATTTTGTGGTTTACCCTTCCTGCATCCTTTATCCATTTTGTCATTTTTGCATTAACTGTTTTTTTTTTCTTTGACACGGAGTTTCGCTCTTGTTGCCCAGGCTGGAGTGCAATGGAGTGGTCTTGGCTCACTCCCACCTCAGCCTCCTGGGTTCAAGCAGTTCTCCCACATCAGCCTCCCGAATAGCTGGAATTACAGGCGTCTGCCACCATCCCTAGCTAATGTTTATATTTTTAGTAGAGATGGGGTTTCATCATGTTGGCCAGGCTGGTCTTGACCTCCTGACTTCAGGTGATTTGCCTGCCTCAACCTCCCAAAGTGCTGCGATTACAGACATGAGCCGCTGTGTCTGGCTGCATTAACTGGTTTTTTTTTTTTTTAATGAATTGATAAGAGCTCAATATGTGAATTTTCATTTGCTTGCTTTTTTAATTCTCTTCAGTTGTAATGAGGTATATTTT